ATGTGGTATAAATGGGTTTTAAAAATCAAGAATTTATGATTTTGTGAGTTCATTGGAGGGTTGAGATATTGGGAATTTTTTATATATAGCTCAGTATTATTAATTTGCTGTCTGCTGTAGTGTTGACTGCATTGAAGCTATAGATTGTAATTCAAACTCAAAGTTGTGGATTAATATCTTCAACATTGAGCTATATATATTGTAATGCAAACTCGAACTTGAAGTTCTATCTATGAATGTGGTTTAGTCTGCTTGATGTGTTATTTCTGTGAAATTTTAAGGGTTTATTGAATAGGATAAGTACTAAGTAGGGATGCTTTACTATTGATAATGTATCATCAAGAGTCAACTGTGGACAGTATAATGAATTTTTGAAGTTTTATTGAAAAATGTAGTTTGACATGATTTGAGGGTTTGGTTAGTTAGTTAGTTTAAAACATAAAATAAGGATATGTCTTTCATTTTAAATGAACTTGAATTATTGAGATTTGTTAGCACAAAAGTTTTGCTGATTTTTTTTCCCCTCATAGAGCATGCTTTGCAAGTCCTGTTGTTGGGTGTTTGTAATTGCACTTATGTTTCCTTCTCTTCCCGGTCAATGTTTCTTTCCGATAAAGCTGATATTAATGATGAGTTTGCCTTTAAAATAACAAGACGCAAAGAAAAAACAACTTTTGATTTTGATTTTGATGTGCTTGATTGTGCCAAACACATTAAAAGATTGTTTACAGTAACATTTTCCCTTCACTATAATTAATTTCTGTTTTTATATATTGGGATTTAATGTGTCATGTACTCGTGTTCCACATTTTTTAAAATCATTTACACTCTTCTGAATTTAGTCATTGTTATTCTGCAGGAAATAAACTGTGCTGTGATTAGATCTTCTTGATGATTTTTTAAAGTAATCACCATTGTACTGCAGTAGATAAGCTTTTTAAAGAAGATAACATGATGAATCAGGTAGCAAATTTTTTTTTTTTTCTTTGTTTAAAGTTTTTTTTTTTTTTTTGATTTTTTTATTATATTTGTTTGGTAACTATATCCCTTTAGCACTTCATTTTGTAATCTATTATCAGCCACTTTCACCCAAAGATGAAAGGAACGTTTCTACCAATCCTTCTGCGGATGCAGCCATCACAGGGCCTTCAAGAAATGCCAGTGATCCTCCAAGGGCTTCAGATGCAGCTGTAGATAATAATACAAGCTACCCACCAAACAACTATGGATCTCTTGAACAAACTTACTTTTATGGAGGTTAGTTTTTCATTTCCTTTTCCTGTGTTAACTGTTTTGTTATAGCAATAGTTCATTTTTGGCCGATAACATATGGCTTAGTGAGTTTTGTTTTGCTTTAACTGTGAAGAGCTCTTGAAGACTCACTTGTGTCAGATAGGTTTTTTTTTTTTTTTTTTTTTTTTTTTTTGGAAAAGGCATGCACATTAACTTTTGCTTTCATTCAGGATATGACAGTGGTGCTGGCAGTTGGAGTGGATATACGCAGTATGCTGGTGAGGGGTTGCATGTTGTACCTCCGGTGAGGCTTTATTGCTGATCTATTTCCTTCTTGTGCTTGCGTTTAGAATAAAATTGATTTGACTGTATTCCATGCCGTTTCTTTTCCATCTTACTCAGGTCATTTATGGTGACAATTCTTCTCTTGGATTGCACTCTCCTTATGGCTTCAATTCCCAGATGGCATATGGACAGTACTCACCTGCCAGTACGCCTGTGCCTCAGATAATGGTTGATAATCAGCTTTATTCACCACAACAAATTCCTGTTTCTCCCCAATATTATCCCCAGCAAGTTGGCAGCTCAATGCCACATATGTCAGCACCAATCCCAGTTTCTCATGCTGAGATGGTTAATCAAAAAGGTATTGTCATAATGGTCTTATTGCTAGTCGCTTCTTTTGTCACATAAAAAAGGAATTTGTTTGTGTTGACAGCTGTATTTTTTTTCTTTCACAGGACACATGTCCATGAATGCTTTGCATAACCATGGTTATTACAACTTGCATGGGATGTATGGATCTGGTGAACCTTTGTCAAGTCCTTCAAATTCCACAGATGTTGGGTGGAGAACCTTAAATTCAACTGCGTACTCTGCTGCTCTTGGTTCGTTTGACCCTACAGTTGGACAGGTTGGAGGCCTTCTTTTTAATATTACTTTTGTTGTCTCTACTGGGATAATTAAAACCTAGGTCAGGTGCTTATTATGTTTCATTTAGTTATGCCAATAGTTGCTTATTAACTCTGGAGTTGTCTCTTTGGTAATAAAAGTAATTCTGGGGTTATCGTGTTTGGTAAAAAACACAGATTTAGATTTTCTTTTATTCTTTAATCTAAGAACTACATGGCTTGCTGAGTGTTGATAGCCATTCATATTAACTTTCCTCCTCATTGCTTACCTTTCAAATGCAGATGACTCAACAGAGACCATATCCTGGCTATGGATTGGTATCAGATTATGTTGGTGGACCATATCACTATGATGGATCGTTTCAGAACTCAAATTACAGTGCCATACCTAATTCTCAGTCAGGATTTAGTAACCGGAATCGTTATAGCTTTGAGAAGGCACGGAATCAAAGGGAGCAGGATTCAATGTTTGCCATCTCAGGTGATCGCAATAGAGGACCAAGGGCATCAAAGGGAAAAGGAAAGGGGACTGTCGGAAATGGCTCATTGCCTGGTGCTGATGCTGCTTCAGAAAATAACTCATTGACTGGCATTGCTAAAAGTGGTGCTTCTGCTTCTGGAGTGAATCTCGCTTCTTACAATAGTGCAGATTTTCCAACAGAGTATGAGAATGCAAAATTCTTTATAATTAAGTCTTTTAGTGAAGACAATATCCATAGAAGCATTAAATATGGTGTTTGGGCAAGTACGCCTCATGGCAATAGAAAGTTAGACGCTGCTTATCAGGAAGCAAAGGAGAAAAGCAACTGTCCTATTTTCCTTTTGTTTTCGGTAGGTTTTCCTTGACGGCTAGTAAATGCATTTTGAGCTCTTTTAATATTTTAATTTCTGCTGTGTGACAGGGACTGGAGATGCTTAAATTAGACATGCTTTTCATTTTTAGACTTGTTCAAATGATCTTCTTGGTTATACTGTCTTTCCCTTTGGCCCACTGATATGTTAACTTCCAGTGCCTCACTAATGGGTAGTTTAAAGGTTTTGTGTATTCCGGTTGTGTATACCTTATGTTGCATGAGGAATGTATGCTCCCAATGTTCATTGACGGATGTAATGTCAATGCTAGTTCAGACACAATCGTAACTGGGCAGTAATATGTAATTTGATTGCTGAAGTATTGTAATATTGGAGACGTGCTTGTAGAATGTTTCATTGAGTGTTTTTTTTTTTTTTACACTGCTATGTTGAGTTGGATACACCTACCTCAATTATGGGGGTTGAATTTGTTAGAATGTTATAATGGCTGCATCATTGTGTCTACTTGTTTTTTCTTCATAGAATGATTAAACAATGGCAACATGTATGCTGTCGTTCTTATTACGTGTTTAAGCTATTGTATCTCATGCAATTTTATTGGACCTGAAGATTCTTTAATGTTTGTTGTATAGGTTAATGCCAGTAGCCAATTTTGTGGAGTAGCACAAATGACCGGACAAGTGGATTTCGAGAAAAATGCAGATTACTGGCAGCAAGATAGATGGACTGGGCAGTTTGCAGTTCGTTGGCATATAATTAAGGACATACCTAATATCAAATTTCGGCACATTTTGCTAGAAAATAATGATAACAAGCCTGTTACACATAGCCGAGACTCTCAGGAGGTATTAGTTTTATTTGTCAATACTTGTATATGTTTTGTTCCCATTTCTTTTCTTGCAAGGCCTTTTTATGTGCGTTCTTTTGGGATTGGGAGGAACTGAATCAACTGATATTGGGGAGGGTGGGGTGATAGACAGCATTGCTTAATGTGGTTTTAGAATTTGCTTTGTTTTTATCCTATATTTTTTTAGTTTCCTTCAAGTAATTGCTGAGTTAGACTTCTGCCAGTGTTGGCTTCTTGTTCCCACTGCACTCTTGTTTACATCATGATCTGTACTAGGTTATTGCATACAGTTGTTGACTTTTCCTGCTTGTTTTGTTATTTTGTAGGTGAAACTTGAACAAGGCATTGAGATGCTGAAAATTTTCAAGGAATATGATGCCCAAACATCCATTCTTGATGATTTTGAATTTTATGATGAACGGGAGAAGGTATTGCAGGAAAGGAAGAATCGACAGCAAGTTAAATCTAAGCCCAGTGTTTCTGAATCTCTTCCTGATGAGGTTTTGAATAATATATCTGACAAATTAGATCAAGCTCTGCATTTAGATGAGAATTGTAAAGATGTAGTGACAACTGAGAAGAGCAGCAGCATCCAGCAAAGCAGTAAGGTGTAGTTAGTTGTGCGCATCAGCACCTGTCATGTTCTCTGAAAACTGATTTTAGGCCCTTTTTCATGTTATACCCTGAAATGTCTTCTTCTCAGAAAGGTTAAAAGATCCTTTTCTTCATTGTCTGGGATACATGGATTCCTCATACTGGATTCCTTTCGTTACTTCTTTTTTTTTCACCTCTTTCCTCCAATCTTTTTTGACTTTTAAATCCTTTCATATTGAATGTACATGAGCCAGGCAGGTTCAGGTATCTGCTGTGGTTGTGGCAGGAGTGTTGTACGACATGCCTGGCTCTTTTTCAAGGTGTAATTTTAGTCCCATACTAAAAAAGAAGAAGCTGTTTTCGATTTCGTTTTCCCCTTTTTTAAAAAAATATATAATTTTCATTCTGTTATCCTTTCTACTAAGTGGATTTCACAGCTTAGGTCAATTTCCCTTTAATAGTGAGTTACTTTTAAGGAATTATGTAATTGCCCAGTATTTTTTTGGGAGTCAAATTAATAAAACATATCTGCAACAGCATTGATTGGTTGATACTTCTTACTCTTAGTACATCTTTGTTATAAGTAAGATTTTTTTTTCTTCTTTTTTTTATAGTAATTTTCGGCATGTTATGACTTTGATATTTGCAGTATCTTTTGCAGCGGATCATTCAAACACCTCTTATTAGTTCATGACTATTGTTTCTTAAATTTCGTTTTGCTGTTGTATAAAAGTACAGGAGATATAAATGAGAAATTTTCAGTTTTGTGCAGTACATTTGAGTTATCACCTTTGTTGAAACCTTAGGCCTCATGACTTCACAGTTCACACACCTTATGATATCAAAACACAATACATACGAGTACAGATGAAAAATAGTTAACATGACTATGTGATTGCTCAACACCGCTGTGATGTATCAAAGTTACTCGTACGTAATCACATACCAATTGGTTTTGCCACTGCTGAACAACTCCCTCTTTGTCATTCTCGACTTTCTTGTAACCCGAAGCAGAAATCTGTCTTTGTTGAATGTTGCATGATCTCAATTTTCATGCCCATCATACGCAGATGTCCTTTTTTGCTTTAAACATGATTTTGTTGCAAATTGATTTGCCATGCAGGAGACTGCTTTATTCTAATTTACTCATAAATGCTAAATATTTATTTCTGAAATTATGTCCTAGTTAATAAATTATGAGACTTATTCAGCCCATTGGTGCAATTTGTGCAAACCATGAAGCGACATAGATATCACTAGTTTGAATCTTTTCCCAACCAGGAAGTCTGAAGTTGAACAGCTTTTCTTGATGGGTTGGGATGACTAGGGAGCAGAAACTAGAAACTGCGCATTCACAACAATGACTTAAAATATTGCTTTCAGAATTTGAAGTGCTTTATATTCTGTCTTCACAGCAATGCTTGATTAGCCATCAATCTGCCAAGAAAAAGAAGACATTGACATACATAAATCATATGGACTTAAACAGAAGGAAAAATAACGCAAAAAAGATAAAAAGACGACAGATTACCACAAGCCTGTAAACATCGGCCATTTTGCATGAAAGAGCTCCAGCAAAGGCACAAGCAGATCATTCCATGACAACTCTTTGGTGTTTGGCCTCTTCGCAGTTTGCAGATACCTCAAATGCACATAATAGACTGATTACTCCAGTGATCACGATGAGCTCCAACCAAGTCTTTTGCTCACTCCCTTATTCTTCATCAGTTGCCTATACATCTCCGCCTCCTCCCATTTTCCATTGGAATCCAATAAATTTGACATAGTTATATAATATCCATCATTTTCAGGATCAGCCTTGATAGCATGCTTAACAATCCTTAATCCAATCTCTACTTCATTGTGAATTTTACAAGCACTTAACAAGGTCCCCCAAAGACCGCCATCTGGTGTAATAGGCATCGACATAACTATATCTTCAGCCTCCTTCAGATTTCCTGACTTCCCGAGAAGATCTACTATACAAGCATAGTGCTTTAAAGTTGGTATCACAAAGTAATCATGCATTTTACGGAAGTAATATCTTCCCTCTTCAGTAAACCCTGCATGACTGCAAGCCAACAAAACACCAAGAAAGGTCAATTCATTTGGTCTAACACTGGATTTTTCCATCTGTTTGAAGACCTCGATTGCAGATCTAGCATCTCCATAAATGCCATAACAAGATATCATCACATTCCAAGCAATAGCATCTTTATCATTCATGGAATTGAAAAGATCTCTAGCCTTCCCAAGCTGCCCACATTTCCCATACATGTCAACTAATGCTGTTGCAAGTGAGATATTTAACTCAACACCCATTTCTCTGATGTAGTTGTGAATCTTCATTCCCTTCTCTAAAGATGCTAAACGTGAGCAAGCCGACAGCACAGTGACTAAAGTAGCTGTGCTTGGATTTGATCCTTCAAACATCATCTGGTCAAATAGTGCTAATGCCTGAGCCAACTCTCCCTTGAAAGCACAGGCATAAATCAATGTATTCCATGTTACGATATCCCTTTGCATCCTTCCAAAGATGGTTTTTGCAATGGTTAACTTGCCACATTTTCCATACATATCTATAAGTGAATTGGAAACTGAAACATCATCATCAAGCAGAGATTTAATGACATAGCAATGTATAGATTTTCCAAGATGAATTGTTCCCAACTGTAAACACGAAGAAATAACAGAGATTAGACTATTGGAATCACATTCAAACCTTTGATGTATCATTTCTTGGAAAAGATTCACACAATTTTTCCAAAGGCCTCCTTTCCCATACTCAAACACCATCAAGTTCCAAGTCTCTGGATTCTTTTGACGTAGTGTATCAAAGATTTGTTCTGCACTGTCAAACATTCCAAATCTACAGTACATTGATATTAATGCCCTGTGGACAACTTGACCCCTTACATAATTTCTCTTCATTATCAGTCCATGAAATGCCATCCCTTCACTGACCCAACTCGAATCACCTAATGATGAAAGCACACAGCTGATAACAATTTCATCCGGATATATTCCACTACCTAGCATTTGCCAAAAGAAGCCTAAGCATTCAGTTACACACTCCAGTCTAGAATAAGCAGCAATAATCGATGTCCAACAGATAAGATCCTTATCTTTAATTTCATAAAACAAATGGCAAGATTCTCCAATGGTTCCCCATTTCGAATACATGGACAAAAGCGATGATTGAACATCATGGCATAACCCATATCCAATCTTTATCGCTAACGCGTGCAAGCATTTCCCTTCTGTTAAAGCCCCTATGTTTCCACATGCTTGAAACCCTCCTCCAAGGGTTCTATAATTAGGCTTTACACAATCCTCAACTACATTATGCATCATACAAAGACACTCCAAACCCTTGTGACTCTCACCATTCTGTAAATAACCAACTATAAGCGCAGTCCAAGCAACAACATCTCTGACAGGCATTTCATCGAACACTTTATATGCATCTTTCATATAACCACATTTTGAGTAAAAATACACAAACGAAGACCCAACAGCAGAATTCCCACCAAAAACACCATATTTCACAACCAACCCATGAATCATAACCCCATAATCTAACGCAAATAACTCAGCACAAACACTAACAACCATTGGAATTGTAAAATTATTAAGTGGGGTGTCAGAAAATCGCATACCCAGAAAAAATCCAAGCGCTTTTTCATAATTCCCACAGGAAAAATGCGATTTGATGATTGAATTCCAGAGAAAAGGGTCTTTACAACGAACTGAATCAAAGACTTTGGAGGATAAATCGGGTTTGGAAAGAGAAGCATAGCGAGAAATGAGTTTTGATGCGATGAACACATTGTTGTAATTCCCAGAAACAATGATGATTGAGTGAAATGGGAGGAGAAATTTCAAGGGTAAGGAGTGATGAGAGAGAAAGGAATCCAGACGAAGATTTATGTAGTTGGTTAGTTGAGAAGTCGTGGAAGGTTGAAGGTAAGTGTGGAAGAATCGCCTAAACAGGAAATTTGGGTTGAATTTGAGCATGGGAAAATCAGAAAATTGTTTAATGATTTTGATCATGTATTCATGTAGGCCTAGTATACTTGTAAGGTTTAATTAAACTAACTATATTACCAAATGTCACTAATCGCTTTAATAATTTACCGAATAACATGAAGGTTTTCAAAATTCACCAACTGTCACGATCACTTTAATAATTCACCGAGTGGCAGGAAAGTTTTCAAAATTCACCAAATAACATGAAGGTTTAACTATGACACTTGTCATGACGGTATAATTGATTCATTTTAATCATTTATTTAAATTAATAAAAATAACATATTTTCTCGATTTTCATGGCGAAAATATAATAGTTCATCAACATCCCAACTATGAATTTTTTTCGGAAGAAAAATAAGATATATTTTTCCTTTATAAGATTTTTTTCTTAAGGGGAGAAACAAGATAGGGAAAGATTGAAGGGAAAAAACAAAGTAGGAGAGTTAAAGAGGATAGATAAATTAAATTTGATGGATATCATTCAATCGATTAAAAGACGAAAATACTCGTAATCAATATGATATAAACATTTATAGATTTTACCATTATTAGTAAAATTAATGGTTACCATAAAATCAAATACTGTAGTTAAATAGGTAAACAAATATAAAAGACTTGAACTGAACTAAAAAGTTCTGTAGAGAAATCCAAAAGAATAGGGTTTAAGTCAAAGGTAAAGTGATCAAAGAGTGTAAAGATCCAAGTAATTCATTTAAATAAATAAATAATATAGATATATAAATACAAATATGTTGTTGAATTAATCTCTACGATATTTTCAAATTAAATATTAATCTATTTTCATAATTTCTACTAATATAATTTTGCATATATTTAAGGCAAAATTGACACTAACATTCTAAACTATAGCTTGGGTGCATCCAACACCTTGTACTTTCGCAGTAGCCAAAACACCACAAACTAATGACTTAGGTGCAAATCATACCTTTAGTGAGTTTTCCGGACACCATTCTCGCGTAGAGCTGGTGAATTAAATTTATATTTTTCGATTTGCGTGCCGAAAAATATTCTATTAAAGTTTAAGGGGTCATTTTGGTCTTTAAGGGTCCAAATTGAGCTCGTAGTAAGCAAAAAATTAACATAAATGACTTAACTCTGCTTAAAAATAATGACACACAAATCGATATATTTTATTACACGCAAAACGAGTCATTTTAAAGAGACAGTCTAACGATTCTTTGTGCCTAAGAGAATGAACTTCATCTGATTAATTAATTTGAATATTTATGAAAATTTGACAGCCTTTATGATCCCACGTGATTCTTTACTAACAAATCAATTATTGCAGGGAAAATTTCACATTTACTACCAGGTAAAGCACCCCAACTCACATTTCCTACCTCTTTAATTTTTTATTTTATATTAGTACCACAGAAAAACACTAACTGCTAAAATAACTACCACTTGAGTAACTCTGTTACTGTTTCTGTTAAGTGGGGTCCACTCCAATGGCTACATCCCAATTCTTCCCATTTAAATACAATTTCATTCGTTGCTTTGCTTGGAATTGCTCTGCTATCAATTGGATGATATTAAAACACAAATTCATCAAAGTGAAACACAAATTCTATCAAAAAATTAAAAGCGAAATCAATGAGTGTGGTTAATTGGTGATTGGTGAGTTTTATAGCAAAGAATTGCGAAGGGAAAAAGGTTAGTACTTTGGTTTAATCGAACAATTTAGGTAAGTAATCTACAATTAAATTCTCAATTACTTAAGTAATTAGTACAGTACATAGGAATGATGTTTTGGCTAAAATCGAATTGCAGTGGCTTAATTTGTAGTAAATTTGTGGAAAAGAAATTAAGGTTCTTGAGTCTAATTTTTAATTGGGGGTTTTTTGTGGGCTGTGATAATCATGAAATTGAAAGTGTTGTTGGGTTATTAAAGTATGTAATGTTGTAATGATTTCTTAAATTTGTGTATTTGTGGGGAATTATGGCTTTGGTTAGGTGTTCACCCTCAAAATACAAGAAATGTGACTGTGGCATTCCCATGGTTAGGCTAACCTCATGGACTAGAGAGAATCCGGGCAGGAAGTTATTGACATGCAAGTTTTATGATCCCAAAACAGAAACAAGGGGCTTCAAGAGCTTTGAGTGGCTTGATGAAGAAGATGGGACTGATTGGCAAAGGGATATGATCAACCAATTGATCCTTGACAAAAAACTGATGAAGGATGAGTTAAGCTCATTGCAAAGAGAAGTTGAGGATCTTAGTGGCCAGAGAAGGTGCTTGCTCACTGAGAATGAGAACCTCAAACTGAAGTGAAAAGCTCTTAGTGGTGATAGGAAGAGATACTCTAAGCAAGGGGTGCAGAACAATGGTGGGTTTGGCTGTGTTGTTGTGGGTGTTGTCAGTTGTTGTGTTTTGATGATGGTAGGGTTGTTAGTTGTGCTTAAGAAAGCTTAGGTTAATGTAGGTTCTATCTTAGTAGCTTCAGTGTAGTGTTATGTTATTTGGTTTCTAGTATTATGTTAGTAGGTTAGTCTACTCTAATGAAGTGGACATTTTAAAATTGTAAACTCTTCAAGTATTAATGAAAAACACTACTTTTATAAGACAATAAACATCATTTTTCACCATTGCATAGTTAAGTACTGTATTAGTCACAAAAGGTTGCAGATTGAAAGCATGAAATTCCAATTCTTACAGACAGTAAAATACAAACAGTTTTGCTAATTGACTAATACTAAAGTTTAAGGTTACAAGGCACTGAAACAGAAATATCAACCAACTTTGTTCTTTCCCTTTGCCTTTGACCTTGTTGCTGGTGCTGTTGTTGAGGTTTGAGTATTTTGGCTGCAAGTAACAGGCTAGGAGCTTTGACCTTGCTGCTTCTGTTGTTCTTGTGGAAATGTCTTGTTACCAGTAGCTCCACTCTGTAAACATTCAAAGCACACAAACATAAAACTTGAATACAGGACACAAACTTCACTATATTAAAACAAAAAGAAACAGGGAAATCTGCTTACATTAGCAGCAGCCCTTTGAGCTTTATTTCTCCTTTGTTCCTGCAGCCATGGTATGTTGAGGACAGGCTTGGATGACACCTTTGGCTCAGAGGTTACTGGGGCTTCGTTTTTAGGTGCAGATCCACAACTCTTGGCATAATGACCCAGGATACCACAGTTTTCTGCACCTTTTTTTGAACTTTGGGCCCTTTGGTTGTGCCTCTTTGCTGCCTGGTCCTCCTTCTCCCTTTTCCAGCTTTCTCTTCTTTGATTGAGGCCTCCCAGGCATTACCCTTACTGCATGTGGGAGTGGTTGTCTCAAGTCTATCTTCTCCCAATGCTTAGGGCCTGGCATAGGGTTGATTGCATCTTGGTATGCAAGAATATAGGCTGCCCTACTATAGTAAGCATCCACATAGTCATCTGGATCCACCCTTTTGTCAAGTATACAAGCATAAGTATGTATACAATATGGTATGCCTGTAAGCTGCCAGTGATAACAAGAGCATGACTTCATCTTCAGGTCAACCACCACCTTATCCCCATTCAATTCAACTTCATAGTTATCCCCTCTAGACAATTGGACAATGCAATATCTAGCAGCCCTTTTAATCCTCCCAAAAACCTAACTCACATAAGGCATGTTCTTTCCTTCCATTTTTTGAACTGCCTCCCACTTTTCACAGTTCCTCTTCATCATGTAACACCTCATCCACTCCATCTGAATGAGAATGGGCTTATCTCTTGCATCTTTTATAACAGCATTGAAAGTTTCACAAAGATTGTTTAGCAGCATGTTGGACTTACACCAATCAGAAAATGCATGTCTTGACCAATGTGATGGTGATATATTTGCTAAGTACTCATATGCATCTTCTGATAAGAACTTAATGGACTCCATTGTAACCTCAAAGTCAAACTATATCACAAACAAATAGACTGTGATAAGAGACCTACTCACACAGAACAAAGCAAGGCATACACTCTAACACAACACAGAACACTTACAATGATAGAAAACAGTGCACAATGGATGACAGAACACAAGTCAAGATGTAATTATAAGCTTACCAAAGTGGTTTCCCTTGCTGCATTCCAAAACAATTCCTTGAAGGTAGATCCAGTGAATTGGAGCTTAAAATTAGCCCAAATATGCCTGACACAGAATCTCTTCTCAGCATTTGGGACTAATTCATCAAAGGCTTCAAGTAATCCCTAAATGTAAAAGTCAAAGAAACAAGTCAACTGTTAGAAATACAGCTGTTAAAAAAAAAGAACTAAACTGACAGAAAGTCAAACCTTTTGTCTATCACTCATAAATGTCAGTCCCAAGCCTTTTGTGCAATCTCCAATGTCCTTCTACAGACACTGTATGAACCAGCACCAAGTGTCTTTGTTCTCTACCTCCATTGTTGCCCATGCAAAGGGGAAAATTTGATTATTCCTTTCCTTGCCAACTGCAATAAGTATTTGACCAGGATAGGCCCCTCTCAAATGACAGCCGTCTAGGCCAATGAGAGGCCTACAACCTTTATTAAAACCATTCTTCAATGCAGCCAAACACATGTACACCCTCATGAATAGAGGGGGTTCTGGTCTGTCTACTCCCTCAACCACCACATACACCCCACTTCCTGGATTATACTTTAGCACGACCTTGTCAAAATCCCAAATCCTTACAAATTGCTCTGCTGCAGAGCCATAAATCATGAACTTTGCTCTGGCTCTTGCTAGTTAAGCCAGTGAATACCCAATGTGTATTCCTAAATCACTTAGCACCCTAGCTCTAAATGTCTTGATTTTCCAAGTGGGATTGCTCCTCCACTCTTCAACATACCTCTCTACCAAATATTCAGCTGAAATACATGCATTCATTCTAGATATCATACACCTGTGCTTTAACCTCAGCTCCTTTATTTGCCAAGCACTGCTATTATAAAGTCTCCTTGCAGACACCTTAAACTCACACTTCTTCACTTCATCACCACACTTGCATTGAGGCAAGTTGCTCCTCTTAGAAT